TAGTATAAAATTTAAAAATAAATTATATAAAAATAGAAACATCAAAATATTAAATTCATCAATATACACTAAAATATATTTAAAATCAATTTATATTTATATTATTTTTAATAGTACAATTATTCTAAAAAATAATATAAAAAAATAATATAAAAAAATAATTTATTATTTAATAAACTAAATAACAACTACAAATAAATAAAGTAAGGCGTATAACCCGCACCCATTTTCTTTTTTCTTCTTTAAAAAGCTGTTGAATGAAAAAAGGTTCAGTCCCAGTTTTTTTTGGTTAATTAAGAATGTTTTTATAATAAAAATACAATATAAAAACTACATGAAATTAACCTTAAATAACAAATAAAAATTATTAGGAAATTAAAAAATATTATATATTATCCTGATATTTCTGATGAAGTGATTAATAAGCCTCCGAACATGTTTTATATTTAATTTTAATATAATTTATTAAATGTTTAGATTAAAAAATATAATATAAGGTTCACTTCCTAATACATCCTTTAAACAATTAATTACTGATTAGTTTAATATAGTATTTAAATTATAGATTGTTATTCGATTTATTAACCATAAAAATACTAATAAATAATCAATAATTTATATTCACTTTAAACACATTACAAAAGAGTACCATGAAAAATCACTGAGGCGTGAAATATTACTGCGAATTGTTATTGAGCAAAAAATAATGTTATTATTGCTTATAAAACATAAAAAATAATTTACTTTGTAAAAATGTTATATAATATGGCTATCAATTAAAACAAGGGTAAATTCGTAAAAACGAACATTCCAAACAACTCAAACTGGATATTGGTTTTTATATTATTGATTTTAACAATTTATAACATAAAAAACCAAACAATACATCAAAACATAATAGCAAAAACGAATAAATTAAAACATCGAAAATTTGAATAAATAGTCCACCTTTTGGACATTATTATTTGAAATTAGATTTCTACTCAGTTAGTCGTTAATTTTTGTTGGAAATACAGAAATTATTAACTCCAATTAAATAAACTTAAATTACCATTATAATCAATATGTTTTAACATAATAATAATAATATATAAACACATAGAAATATCAACTCGAATTATTAAGATCGAATAAACATTCCAACTTCGAAATTATAATAACAACGCAAATTGCAATACAATAAACATAAACAAAATATAAAAACGCGTTATAAAAATATTATATTGATAAATTTATTAAATATAAATCAATTTGATGATAACAAACGGTTAACGAGCTTGGGTTTTTCAAATGGTCGATTATTTAATCACACCAATGTAAAATCAGAATAATTTGTTGAAATGAAAGAATTAAGTTGTTTGGGGTTTTGGTGTATTAACCCTTTTAAAATAATGATAATTTATAATAAAATTATCCATAATTAATCGACTAGTTTAATTATATGATAATAATTATTAGAATATAATTTCACATTTAAAAAAATAAATTATAAATTATTGTTGTTTTATTATAAATTTTGGCTATTGATGTTAATTAAAAATACATGTAAATTAACTATTTCTCTTGTTTGATGTTTATTATATTTTAATTAAATTTATACTATAATAATAGTTCATTATTTGATTTATTTGATGTGAATCGTGATTGTATTTCCACATCATTTTACAATCAAAATAGCCAGTGATCATACAACCAACATGTCAAGTATTTACTAAACGATTTCGATATTACAGATGTTGTTATGAAATAGATAATTATATTGTTTATGCATTTTGTTTTTAAAACATTTTTTGTGTCACGATGTGACGGGTTAGATTCTTTCTTTAAATTTTTTACTTAAAAAAATCAACGACATTCATAAAACATCTACAAGACATTGAGTAATGATTTTTCGAATAACAAATCATTATAAAAGCAACTAAGGAATTCACTTTATACATCAGAATGAAATTATATTGTTAAGTGATTATTTGGTAATTAAAATTATGAGAAAGATTTTTTATTGGTAATTTTTAATCTTTTACAACAATACGTTATGTTTTTCAACTAGAAAAGGAAAAAACAAAACCCTCATTAAAAAATATAAAAACACCATTTTTCCTCTTAGCACAATCTGTTGACTTGGCCTCAAAAGATTTTGTGAAACAAAACTATTGTTTTTCGTTTAAACAGCCTCGAATAACAAAAAATTAACCCAAAATGTTTTAAAACCCTTAATAACATTATTTTTTTTGCCCAATAACAATTCGCAGTAATATTTCACGCCGCAGTGATTTTTCACTGTACTCTAGTTAATTATTTGTATTTATCAGCCACTTAAACATAATAAATAACATAAAAAACAAACAAACATGAGTCGCGCGTAATTTGCATTATCCAATTGTTAATTTACATGCGCCATGTGTATAAATAAATAAATAAAATTGCCAAATGGTAATGGGGATCCACAACAACTCAACACAAACACGTTTCTGTTGTTTGTATTGAGTTTGAATATTTGAACTTGTTTATCTTAATTTTAAGTTTTCATAAAATTTTTTTAAGAAAAAATAATGGTGGATATAAAAACCACTTAATTTTTCAACAACCAAAGTCATTTTACTAGTTTATATTAATATAATTATAGTAATATGTATAGTTTGTTGGTGGTGTTTTTATCAATATTTTTATTAAAATTATTTAATTTAAGTTAAATAATTGTTTAATTTGTAAAAAAAAAACAAATATTAGAAATATAATAATTTTTTATTATAATTAATAATGATTGATACGATAAAAAACACATTCTGTAAATTCTTTGTATAATGTTACAGTATGATATAATGCAGTGATACATTATATTACTGTTGATGTACAATCGTTTACCAATCAAAATTTTTGTTTTTATTTACAACTTAATAAAAAAGATATGTGTCAAAAAGACATAACTTGACTTTTTTTATTGTTTTTGAACTTATTTAAATAATGGTGATATTATACACACAAATGAGTTTTAATACAGCATCTTCACGAAAACGTAATTGATTTTGACTTGTGAGTATCATAGATATAAAAGAAAATATTTTGATCAAAAAATAAACATTTGTCTTGGAAAAAGCAGAACTCTAAATATTTTTATTATACATTACTATATTATAGAATTTTGTTTTGTGAAAATATAACTATTTTTAAAATTGGGTTTTATAAACTATTA